TGCTAAACCCATGCAAGCAGCATCGATGAGGATAAACAAGTTCTCCTTACTCTGTCCACTTGGCGGCAATTTCGCTCCGATCTGACAATCATTAATTCTGAGAAATTATCATTGGTGAGCGATACAGCTCGATGCAGCGTTAATACATCAAACGACTGACCGTACTACCTCGTCCACCAGAGACATCCCATTGAAGGCCATCATAATCTGACGTCGAAAAGGTGACTTAATCAGTGTAGACGAGACTAGCCAGTCGGATCAAGACAGTATGCAATCCACCAGAGAATCCTGCCAACTACATAGTCGGTCAGGATGAGCAACAAGATGCAACCTTGTTGAAAGCCAGACAGGATGGGAAGACTTGCTTTTAACCGATTATGGATAGTACTCGTCGAGGATGGTGATGGATTTGTAGGCAAACTATCTAGCTAAGCTAGCTACCAACAGTGGCTCACGATGAGCGGGATCAAACGCATGTCAGCTCAATCCTCCCTCCCTTGAAGCCCTGAAACCTATTTCAACAGTCTTCGGCAGGTTATCTTTTCCGAGCGTCTTGATGCTGTGCAGCCCTAAAGTAGCGGGTGTGGTCTCGTCTTAGGAGGGTCGAAGCGGGGAATGCATATGAGGAGCTCACATTAGCGTTCGATCATGACGACAATATACATCTTTAAGAGTTACTTGGTGTTGTGAACCTTCAACTTACTTGGCCAGTGGGCTAGTGGCTTTAGTTTCGTCGACGTTTGAGGTTAGCTGTACAGGAGTCGCGATCTTGACCGGGTAAGTCATCCCTATCCCCTTGAAACACTCTTCGATCTCAGAGCTTTCAAAACCGAACAAGAAAGAAGGCCTAACTCTATACGTCGATGTTACATGTGCAGGCCACCCGAGTTTTACAGAAGAGACATTTCAACTGTTAGGACGTCTTAAGCCATCACCGACCTAGTCGGTCGGTTTATCAATAAACGCTAGGAAGACTAAAGTGTGTTCAAGCTGCACCCCTGGTCTGTTAACGTTGGGTTTTGCGCGTGGACGAGCAAAAAATTGACGTATTTGACTACCACCGCCAGGAGCCATCGTGAGTGAAGTGCACCGACTTCGTCTCAAATGAGACAGTCCGCACTCTGTGCGTCATCAGAAGGATAACCCAGGTCATTCAAGAAAAATTACTAAGGTGATTTTGGCACGTTCTTCGCCGCCCAGCTCGGGAGCTCAGTGCTACTGTCCTCGATCTGGCACCGTTACCTGATTGGAGGCGTCGAAGAGGGTATCGACAGACGACTGCCTGCCCCACTTAACCGGTCCATCAGGCCGTAATATAAAATACGTAAATGGCCCACAACGATAATACTAGACATGCATCAGAGCGATTTTCTGGCGCGGGTGACAAAATGGCATTTAAAACCAGCAAAAACAGTAGTTTGCAAAAGTGTGCGGCAACCCACCCCGAATGCACGTAATTTATTCAGGCTGCAAGTAATCTAACAACCGCACCTATCACAGAAATCGTCGAAGTCTAACGCTATGTCTAATACCTGAGAGCTGCTATGGGTACTCGCCTGAAATATTGATTCAAAAGGCATGCATAGACATCAAAACTGCATTTGCATCTTCGCTGCAACTAGACCCCTGGCGGAGACTCAAGTCCTCAACAGCAAAGTCGCGGATGGCAGGGTTGCAAAAAGAACGACTGCAAAATAAACATGATTCAGGCATGATGCATACCCCCGAATACGGAAACATTTATGATGAAAAGTGCAAGAATTTACGTTAGACGGTCAACCGCCCCTGGGGTAGACTGCCAAAAAATAAGCTTCCAGAGTATGGTGAACTTGCCCCGAGTGGCTGCGCATAAGGGCGCCCTAAGCTCTCTGGGTAAAATTGCACAAGAATGGAATGCAAGTCAGGACTGACAGACGTGATGTTCGACGGCTAACTTGTGTTCCAAGCAGGGCTGTGATATATGCCATTCCATAAACGCAGCCGCTTAAAACATAAGCCAGCCTTCCAGTGCGCGCGCAATTGCACCCTGCGCATGTTGCATTCGTACAATGTATTGGGCGGAAAAAAAATCACTACAGATGTCTACTGCACTTGCATCCGAAAGCCATTGGTAACGAGGAGAACATGATTCACCTCATTACCCATGTCTTTCAAAGGCAGGAGGGCAAGAGTGGGAAAACGCAAAACGTGGGAGAAGAAAGGGACAATGACTGAGAAAAACATACGGCTCGGTGATCGTCAATTCAATGATTAAAACAAAACACTTCTCAATGTTCCAATGAGACTAATTCACACACCTATGTTTGTCAGACATCGTCTTTACTCATGTTTTACGCGGAAGTAAATGAAAGAATGTTAACATAAACTCAAAACTGGTGGTACGAGCCATGGGTAGTTACCATGCTGTGGAGGTCCGTCAAATGAAATAAATATGAAACATTTACGCACCAAGAAAGGAAGAATAACCATTAAAAAAAAGCCAAAACAGACGAAAACGAACCAAAATATATCACGGTAGGGCAACGAAAGCGACGCACGAAAGTTTACTTACAAGAAGACGAAGAACGGCCAATTATGTGAAAACCTGGATAAATCGGACAAACGCAGTAAAACGAGGAGGAATATTTACGACTTATATTCACGTGGATTCAAGGGAGATTTTCGTATGTGTGAGCAGAGAGTGCAGCGTAGACTGTTGTCAGCATAACGAACTTCCTAGACTCTCAACATATTTTTTCACTGGTCGTTGAATATAAGTGAGGTCGTAACCCCCTGCGTCGACAGAGAAGTAAGACGTTTCTAAAGTGTGTGGGGTATGTCACGAAAGCCATTTCCTCAGATTACCGTTTCTGAAATGATAACGGGCTCGGGAAGGCCAGTCTATCGGACTTGAGTACTTAATCGAGATATACAGTGCACTCAGGTTATATTCAAGTAGTTCGCCCATAAGTGCATTGCAAAACGGGCACACTCAACCGAGCCATAGACCTACATCCCGCCTGCCAGGCGCTCCGCACAAGACTCGAGTCAGTCCAGGCAGGGCCGATGGCACGGATGAGAAGAGTCACACGGGGTCGACCGCCGACGCTGGCGGAGAGAGGAGAAGGCACTGACAGGATTTCACGTGACCGACGTGGCACACTGTCTCACGGACGTACTCGCGAGGCCGGAAACGCTACGTCTGAGGAACAACGATCGATCAGCCCGCCGTCTGACGAGGGGGAGTCCAACGAGCACGCCGACGCAGCGGCAACCACGTTAGGCGTGAGGGGGACACAAGCCA